AATCACATATTTCACGTTATCAACTAATATTTCGTGTTATTCAAGCACATATTCTGCATGAGCATTGAGCACACGTTTAGATTATATACGTATAAAGTATAATTAATAATTATATGATCTATGAGCACGACACTCAAGGGCTATAGATAATACTAATACTAGTATTATAGTATTATACATTTTTATTATAGTATTATCTATAAGCCTTGGATCACACACATAGAATTTACTAAAAATTCTATACAGACTTATGGTGACCAGACGTACTTATTTTATAAGGACGGTACTGTTTTTTCTTTTTTGGTAACATGTCCTACTGTCCTAAATAAATGGTCGAAGTATACTTAAATGTACTTATTTTTAATAATTTAATAATTGTAAATGGAAAAAAAGTTATYTAAATTCATATTTAAGGGATTTAAAAAAATTCTGTCATCAAAAAAAAAAGTTTTAATAGGTACCGTGATATAGTGTTAATATTGTAATCACGGCTTTAGATACTATATAATAATAATATAAATATAATAATAATAATCTAAGTTCTAAAGTTGTAAAGTTTATTATTATAAGTTTTGTTTTTCATGAAAATCACCTATGAGTTGAGTTATATAAAAACACATATTTTATTTTTCACTGTTAGAAAGATAAAAAATCTGTGATGCATATTTATGTTTAAAAATAAATAAATGAGTTTAAATTGATGTTATATTGTTAGGAAATTATATTGATATTAATATTATACACATAATGTATTAGCCTATATTATAATGTACTGTTTTTTTCTTTTTTAATATTATCTGGTCACCATACTATATAGTACGTCATACACAGATAATATAATTTGTGGTAGATTCACAGAATAGAACATATTATGATAAATCATAGGTTATATAAAACTTTTATATAATCTGTGATAATATGATGAAGCTGATGGGCAATATTAGTCTGGCAACTTTACTAAACTCGGTTWGTCGGTTATGAAGCTTTAATTGATGGGTCTCGCTCTGGGGGGCGCCATCTACCGGTCAAATACCATAATATCATTATTATTTCAACTTAAAAAACTTAATTAAGACCCATAGAAGGCATAGAGTAATACTCTATGTTAAGACCGTGCCACCGTGGGTTTAACGTTCCATTAAATATATTATCGGATTATTTATTATTTTGCTCATAGTAAAAATCTATGAGCCTATGACCGTAAAATACCGCCAAAATATACAGACCCACGTTATTGGTACATTGTCCTTTTAAATGTCTTAAGTACTAACTACTTAAGTACTAAAGTACTATATACTCTTTATAAAAATTACACGAAAATGTTCTCTAATATGTAATTGTAGTACAATTATTGTACCACCACCGGAATACCTTGAAATGGTTAGGTTGATTTAGATTAAGTTCACAGTACACGGAATACATTTTGTGTAACACAAGATCGGTTTCGGTTGGAGAGTTGGGAAGTAATTATAGGTAAAATTTTAAAAATTGAGGATAGATTATGCCAGTCACATTTTTGTAAAGAGTCTATTAAAACAAAAGATATTATGGATATAAAATCTAATAGAACAG